TCCCTCGAGCGCCATCGTCGCCCAGCCGACCCACCACCACTGCCAGCCATCGTGCGACGACCGCCGCACGCCTCCCAGCAGCCGATCCTCCTTGCTTTGCATCTTTTGTAACCGAAACAGGGCTATCACGGCAACTCACATCTGCTGCCCTTGTTTCCAGCCGCCGACGTCGCCTCGAGCGCCGTCGCCGTCGCCTTCCAGCCGCTGCTTCCCCGTACGATGACCGCCGCTTGCCTCCCAGCCGCTGCTCCCGCTCGCTTCCCAGCCGCTGCTTCCCTTTGCTCTGCATCGGTGGTGACCGAAACAGGGCAGTTACCACCGTCGCAGTCGCGGGTCCCCTTGCTGCCGCAGTCGTGGATCCCCTTGCTGCTGCGAACGCCGGTTGCCACCACCGTCGCCGCTGCTGCCCAGCCAGCGACGACGCCGCTCGCCGCCCAGCCTGCCACGACCCTCGTTGCCTCCTTCTCCACCGCCGCCGCCGCGCTCCGGCCAGCAACGACTGCTGCTGCTAGCCACCGCAGCCTTCACCTCAACCCCCTCGATCTGCCCCGTTGCTGCAGCCCCCCTTGCTCTGCATCGTTGCCGCAGCCACCGGTTGCCACCATTGCAGCCTCAACCCCGACCGCTTCAACGCCACCTCCCTCTTGTTCTGCCTCCGCTGCTGCAGTTGTCAGTTGCCATCACCGCAGCCTCAACACGGCTGCTCGGCGATTGCTTCCTTGGGTCACAACAGTCGCAACCGTCATCTTTCGGCCTTGGTGCTCTCATCTCACGCAGTGACACAAACACAAGGTAGCTACTCTTCCTCTAACGCAGCGACCGCAGCACTGCTTTGGCATCCACCTCCTCGGTAACTTCGCATCTACAGTGTTGATGCCCTTGTCCGACACCAAAAACAGGAGTTGAGATTACAGATTTACAGTCTTACGCAATGGCCATCGATAACTCAGTGAAAGCACAAATGAAAGCATTGGAAATTAGAATTGAGAACCGGTTACAAGAAGTACTTAATGATTTCAAAAAGGATTTACTGGGGAGCCTTAGTAAATTTCAACAAGGTGGGAGCTCAAGTACTATATTGCACAGATCTGAAAATATAGGAAAAGGGCCCCAAGATTATGACACAAATTACTCACACATGAAGATGGAAAGATGGAGATCCGACCAATTGGATCTCTAAGGCAGAAAAGTTTTTTCATCTTTACAGAACCCCAGAAGAATCCAAGGTAGAAGTGGCCTCAATCCAACTCGAGAGAGATGCACTCCAGTGGTACGATTGGTATGAAACTTTCCACGGAGTTCCTTCGTGGGAGCAGTTCAAAAGAGGGCTTCTTGTTCGCTTTGGCCCATCTGAATATGAGAATGTTGATTACCAGCTCGCCAAAATTCGTCAGACTTCTACAGTATTAGAATATCATAGTAGGTTTGAAAGATTATCAAATCAAGCTAGAGATTGGTCAGACCGACAACTTCTGGATACATTTATTGAAGGGCTTATTCCAGAGATCCGGTGTGAAGTTAAGGCTCGTCAACCCCGTACTATGATAGCTGCGATCTCATTTGCAAATCTACATGAGAAAAAAATTAG